TGTTCGCAGGTATTGAATTTTATCGTTTCATCTTGGGCCGTTTTGGAGATATTTCAAAGTTCCCTTACTTTCTGCGGAAAAGACGGTGACGTCGTGTCTCAGTAATTAATAGAAACAGAGTTATTCTTCAGGATCATACATATAAAAAAGAGTAAATTTTCTGGAAAAAAAAAGACAACTTTTTGTAAATGCTATAGCTCGACTGAGTTTTTAAATCAAAGATTGTTGTTTTAATTTTTTTATATTCTTTTTTCTGATTTGAGTTTTACGCGTTACATTTAATATACATCGATTCAATTTTTTTTATAGGCCGATATTTGTTACTCTGTGCTACTTAATACTTAATAATAAAATTTCATAGCGAACTATGTAGATATCTTTAAAGTAGCTTTTTAAATAAATTTTGCATACATATGCGGCGTGTTTCGCTGTTGATTCTTCCGAAAATTTGGTTAGTTCCATCGGCGGCGATGCTCTATGGATATAAAATATTTTTAACCTTGCCACGTTGCCGCTTCTTCGAAAAAGTAGCATCAAAATGGAAATTTTAAACTGAACGCATTTTCAGATCCGCTAATACATTATGATTGTTTCCGAATAATACGTTTCTACGCCTGTCATTGGTATGAGAAATGGATATACTTTTATTAATTTTTTATGAAACGAAAGACGACGTTAATAAAATTTTCATGACTTGCTTAGTTTTTCAGAAAAGAAATTTAGTTTAAATGCCATTTGTTTGTTAAAAGATAATACAGTATATGTTGTAGCATTGAATGGTTCAAAATACCTTCAAATATAAAGAACAGTGGTAAATCATTTCTTCGAGAATCTTAGCCCTCAGGAACTTAGGACCTTTTGGTACTAACTAGAAGTGGCACCAGCTCATTGCACTGAAATATTGCAAGAAATATAATGACCATTGGTTTCGACGTTTGCGGCAGTGGGATTGGTCAGCAAGATTGCCCGATCTCAAGCCATTAAATTTTTACCTATGGGGTGCATTAAGGTCACTCGAGAACCACTAAACATAGGTATAGCAACGCATTATTAAAAAATAAACATAAAGTATTGGCGTATTCACAGTCTCCATTTTAAATTTCAATGTTGATGCTACGTTTTAGAGGAAACGGCAACGTCGCAGGGTGGATAGAACATCGCCGTTTATGGAACTAATTGAATTAAGGGACCATCAATTTTGAAACACCCTATATTTCTATTTGGTAATAGTAATTTTCTAAAAAATTAACTTTACAGTATCAAATCACTCGAAAAAAAGTTTTATTAGATAACTTTGTATCACGCTTTCCAGACAAAAAACAAGATACAATTCGGAGTTGTTAAAAAAAAACGCAGATCATTTTACACAAACAATTAATTTTTCTTTTCTAACCGTTTATTGGAAATTTAGTTTGCTTATTGGGAATGAAAAACCAATTCCAACAATATTCCTAAACCCGAATGCATAAAAAATCAGAGACGTTCGTTATGTGCATAGAAAGCTTAGTCTAAAACTAGCTTTTAGAACTCGCATCCACTCATATTCCACGGGAAGTACCCGATAAAGGTGAATAATCGTTATGATACTCAAAGCAATACATTTTGCGTCGTAAAGGTGGGCTAAAACGTAACGGACCCGGAGTTAAATCACAAATATCGCAAACATTTTTAGATATTTATATCCTTTCCCTTAGCGACCCTTAAGTATGATTGCATCCCGCGTACATAACTCTCCTTGAACTTTGATATGTACATCCCGAGCTGAATATGCGCGAGTCTGCTACAGAGTTCGAAGTAGATTCTGTTGAGTGACAAAAAAATGACTTGGAAATATTTCTTGCGCAATCTCCTCGCTAATATAGTAAGAATAAATGAAATGCAATAACAAGCATTGGGAGGTATGAAGCGGAGATGAAAAGGCGTGTTGTAATGTACGGACAGCTTTGATTAATCTTAAGAAGATACACACAGAGAGATATTTGATAAAGACATGGTGTTGTCGAAACAATTGTCATGTCATAATATATAATTTCGTGAAAATCTGAACTTTTAGTTCTTATTTATTTTGATAAATGGATTTTCATCAAGTAAAAGCCACATCAGTTCAATATTTAAAAAGACCCTCGTTCGATCCCTACGGTTTTCCATAGTTCTATATAGGTCTGAGTTATGGGCCATCAGGTAATAATGGTTTACAGATACGGAATTTAAAAAATGGCAGCGACATGTTGTAATTCAGAGTGATGATGATTCAATAAAATTTGCAATGAAAGAAAACAATATAGCTAAGGGGAGTATAAACGTTACAGAGGTTTTAGATAACGCAAACCAATCTTGCCATAACCTCAACAATTGGTTCCAGCAAAATAGGGGAGATCGACAGGTATCTCAGAACAATTCTTAACCACTTGGAAAATTAAACAATAGGTGGAGAGTAAACCGTCTGACTCCATAGGTCGAAACATATTGTATCATATACTTTACTGAATTAGATCTTACATATCGGACAGTCACCAACATGTTGAAATTCACAGTGATGATTTTTTCGTCAAAACTAGAACCAGGTTTTCGACATCTGATGAGTCCCATTCAGATTCAGTAGTTGATAAATTGAAGAACAGCTGCATCATTCGGTGTATGTAACTCGTATGTTCCAACTATATCAGTTGGTTCCCAAAACTCTTGTAGATTTATGTTATAGTTCATATCTTCTTCGTCAGGTAAGGTATCCATGTAGGAGGCGCTTCACATCGAAAAAATTTTTGTATGATTTTCTCGAAAATTCAAAATATATAAATAGTTTTAGCCAGGATGAAGCAGTGAAAAAAAAACACATCAAGAAGTTGAAACGGCCTGGCAATATCGTTTTTCTCCTCTGAGATATAAATAAAAATTAATTTAAAAATACTTTTTTAGCAAAAGCAAATCGAAAGCGATTTCGTTCTCTAAAGGCATTTTGAACATATGTAACGTGCATTCAAAAAAAAAAACTTAGTTTAAGCAGATTCGTTAGGTTTGTTTGCTTCATCGTGCCGTTGCCATGCCAACCGCTAGGCCTACTTAGTTATTTTCTATAATGTTGACAATACATGTAATATATTAATAAATCATCTTGACGGTTCATTTTTTAACTGTTATTGATTTTAGACGAATTTAGTTCTAGAAGAAAATATAAGCATGCCACGTCGCCTCTGTCGCCTCTGGTACTATTACTATGGCACGGTTGAGAAATATGTTTAATAAACACATTTTTATTTATATCTCAAAGGGGAAAAAAGATATTGCCATGCCGTTTCCACTACTTTCTGTGTTTTTTTTACGATCTTTCATACTAGCTAAAAATATTTATAGCATTATATTTAAAATTTTCGAGAAAATTATAAAAATACGTTAAGCGCCTTGAAAATCATTTCCAACTTTTTCTCTTGGCTGATTTACCTATAAATATTTGTGACATTTTTCAAATGTTGTAAATTTTGAAATAAATAATTAAGGCGGATCGGAATTGGTGTCTGCGAAAGCAGGTCAGCTTAAATAAACACGCTCCGGTTCCCCCTTTCCGATGAAAAATTTTAATCTTTAATGGATTTCGTCCTTAAGGACCCGAGTTCGTTTTATTTCATACTGGAAAAGATCAAGCGAAACTCAATTTAAATCCGAAAAATCGAAGATTAAGTTTGCTTTCCACTTTGTCCGTTATTCTTTCATTTTACCTCGCAAATGCCGTAAAGCAATTGCGTGTAGCTTGCTGGCCTATTTAGCGAGTGAATGTTATTATGCTAGATGCCGATGGCTTGGGAATTCGCTGATCGATTTACAAATCTGGTACTGAATTACGTTTACGTTTACGTAAAATGTTTGTGGTTTCACTCACTAAATTCATGAAGATCTTAGTCATTATTAATTAATCAAATTCTTCGCAACATGAATTCCTGTCCTAAAGATCAACTTTCGTAAACTTATGTTCTTAAATTCAATATGGTAAAATGGTTCATTATGAAATTCATGGCAATTTCTAAAAATCAGGGAACATTTCATACAGGAACCAAGCTTTTGCAGCAGAATAGTTGGATGTTCATCATTTACAATATTAGAAAAATGTCTCCTCTCAAGATAAGCAGTAAACATTGACACAATGTAGCAAAGATAATGAAAGTAACTTTCATGACTATGAAATAATTCTAGAATCTTAACATTATATTGTCCGGTTTCTACTGACCAGGAAATCTAGAAATGATAGGCTCCATTTGCCAAAAGTAAATTTAATGGATGATCGCGAAGAATTCCAGATGACGAAGGTATCGTCAACTTATCGAAGCTAGACCCCAGGTTTCAAACAATTCCATGTATAGATTCGTCTAACAATTACTCCAAGGGCACGTTGGCGCAAAAACAGTCCACGTTAAAGCTAATAATCTTGCCTGAATGACACGATCGAACGTCATATAGTCTGGACATCAGCCTCGTAGTCCCAAAACTAACATTAGTCTGCACTTAACGTGTAATTTCTTAGTATTTTTCATTACAACATTGATTATTATTTAGATTAGTGTGCAAGTTTCCTGAAGTTGACGTTCGATCATTGTGTGATGCAGGAATAGCAGTATCATCATCTTGGTAGATCTACTGCATGAAAGAGATATGGTCCACTTAAACTTGCACCAGTTTTACCCAGAAGTGTCTCGTTGACAAATAAGCTTTCGGTAGCTGAAAGTTGGTAGACGCTCTTTTAATTCGAGTTTGCTCTGACTCCTAAAAATGTTTGTCCTATTAATTTTTGACACACTCGACACGGATCGGTTAGTTCTACAGTATCCAGATCTTTTTAAAATGGCTTCGATATTGAAAGGTTGGTATAAAAGATTAAAACTAAGCAATAAATCAACCAGTTTGCCCCTCTCCGAGTGATTAATAAATGAAAAAAAAAACAATAAAACTGCACGCTGTAGATGTGTGCAATTTTAAGTGTTTTATTTTTAACCTTGCAAAGTACTCGAGACGGCTACGTGCATATATACCGGGCTTTCCGAACAGCATCGAGTCTTCAGAGAGCGCGTTTCACATCGGCGCATTTTTCAAAGATGAAGTTTTTCCTGGTTAGCTTTGTCGTGTATTCTAATTGGATATTTTGCTTCGTAAGAACTCCATTATTGTAAAATACTGAACCTAATTTTTTCCGTGTTAGTCGGGGGAGAACTTTATCAACTCACCTTCGCCAGATATCGTCAACGGGACAAATTCCAGCCTCAACTCACGGCCTTACCACGTCCTGCTGACTTTCAACTCGGACCGTGCCTACGGGGGTTGGGCATGTCAGGGAGCTTTGATCTCTAACAATTATGTGCTGACAGCCGCCAACTGTGCTTACGAGTAAGCTTCTTGGTGCCTGCCAGCACGTACGATCCGAAAGATCCATTTTCCTTGCAGTGCGAGCCGTATCAATATCACTCTTGGCTTGAACGACGTTAACAATTCCACCGGAAGCGTCGTGATGTCAACTACCGATGCCGGCGTGACTTTTCACCCCAAATACGTGCGCAATATCTACGACAACTTAGCTCTCATCCAGCTGCCTCAATCGGTCACCTCCAGCAGCACTATCCAAGCTATAAAGCTGCCAGCTTCATCTTCCTCTACGAACATGTTCGAGAACGTGACTGGGGTGGCTTCTGGGTGGGGTTATACTGACGGTGACATCTACAATAGCACTCCTGGAACTTTGAAGGAAACCCAGCAACAAGTCATGAACTACTTGGTGTGCGAAGACACCATCGGCATTTTTATAGAAGATGGCATCTTGTGCACAACGGGAATCGATGGTGCTTTATGCGTAGAAGACGAGGGCGCTCCTTTGGTGATAGACGGAGCGCTGATCGGGATATTGGCATCTGCCAGCGGCAATTGCACTAACGAATCACCCTCCATATTTATCAAGATACCCCTCTATCTAGATTGGTTGGGGGAGAACACTGACGCGAACATTACCGCGAATTAATATGATATTATTGCGAATGGTGCATTTTGCGATGGAATTAAAGATTATTCGCTTATCTCAAAGTCTGAGGTCTGTGTTTGCTTTGCGTCTGTATATATACATGTCGCGGATGATATCTGCCGGCTGGAGTGCATCAGACTAATTTCCGCAGTGATGCAGGTCATTTTAATTGCTTTTTTAATTTCCGTTGGTATTATACTTTGCTTGGTAAGTTTCACCGTACTTTCTACCAGATTCTTCTACCATATTCTATGCTAGTTAGATCTGTAGTCTGTCAAGTAAGTTCACCTGCACTACTGGTTCAACATTTTCAGAATCTTTTTAAAAAAAACACACAAGGTCTATATCAAACGGTTTAATATTTGTACCATATTTACCCATCGTTATCATTTACCAGATCATATATATTTCAAAATTTATAAAATAAATATATAAAATACAAATTTAATCGATCAAAACAGTCAATCATTGGTTTAATAGCTGTAACTATAACATTTTTTTTTTTAATCAGAATACCATTATCATATTCGAATTTTGCAAAATGACATTCATCCCAAACAATTATCGATTTTTTTTTAATTTATTTGAAAAATATAAGTGTACAAAAAGTTATTATCATAATCTAACTTTTGTAAGTAGTAGTCCGTAATAAGTCCATAACAACTTTATGCTTCCATCGGATATCTTTGATTGTTTCTTGAAAGATCGATATGTTTGAAGATTTGATATGATTGAACTTTGTGTACATAATATAACCAGATAGGTCATTCAGGTAGACTAAAAATGGCCAGGAGGAGGCGCTCCACGCTTTTTAGTTTTCTTTTATGTTTTCAGACATTTTAATTTTGCTTTTTTTTTCTCAAAAACCTAAACCTTGACGTTTAAAATTGTAAGTTTCAAAAAACCTGATGAATGCAGCTGGATTACTTGACCAAAACTATGAGCTTGTATTGGGAATGAGCATACTGCCAGAAATGTGTGACGGTTTCATATTTCAATGGTAAAATTTAGCATTTTTAAAGTGAAAGTGCTGGCACATTTGCGAAGTAACGGGTTTATTTTATTAGTACCTTGTAGAATTAATTGTACTGTCCATTTCCTTCACCTTTTTGCTGTTTGGCGAGTGCTTCTTAACAATTAAAATTCTTGTTTATTAGGTTCATATCGATTTTGCAATTTGAACACACGTTCTTTTGTAGACTCGGTTCCTTTAGTTTCGGACTTGTACTCCCCGGCCGATTGTGTTGCCGAACCATAAATATTTTATGCTGCAACGGCTGTGTGCGTGGCCCCTTGTTCGCTTGGTTTTCTCTTAAGTGACACCGGTTTACTGAGAGATACTAATGCAAAAAACAGAGTATTAGTTGCGCATTAGAAGGAGTCATAACCATTACCATCTGTCACCCTATGAGACTAGGGACCACATTTGCTTTTCATTACTTCGGTATTCCTTGGCGAGCCTAGTAAACATTGTTTTGTTTCTTAACCTATTCTTCCTCGATTTTCTGTGACTGGCCGTCCGGTCGCCACCATAGATAGCGTTCGGGTAATTCAATCTCGTTGACGCAACCTCGATTCTTTGGCACGGGCCATACGGCCATCACTACAGATATAGTTCAGTTGTTCTTTCTACTGGCGGCGTACCGTCGACTAGGTTGGCAAGAGTGGCGTTTTCCCTCTAATTTTTTGTGCCCGTTTAGCCTTTTAATAAAACTAGTTGTCTGAATCGTCCGGCATTTTGTACGCTAGCTTTTGAAGCTTGGGGTTGTGGCAGATTTTCTTTTGTGTGACCGATTTCTTTTTGAGCCGGTAGTGCTACCCCAATAAGAGGGGGATATGTGAATTGGTCACTAATTTATGATTTCCCATACTTTTGGATCTATTTGGAGTTTGGAATGGGAATCTTCCTCAACGAGGGATTTTGAAAAGAATTGTCATTGCCCCATATTTCCAGAAAACCCTCGAATCGAGGTAAGTTACCTTTTGGAACCATTTCGCCACCTAATCAGTGTTCCTCAATTTATGCCGATTTTATTTTAGGGTTTCTTTTTTTCTAATTAGTATTGTACGTATTGTTGCTCCGTTTCCCGCAAACCTTCACCGGAATACCAGACCAGACTTGGTGTCTTGCAGTGTATGCTGTCTCTTGGGTACATGTTTAGTTGTGGAGTTTCCCCTATCGAGCAGCAGGCTTTCCGGACGGACTTTGCTGGGTTAACTGAGACTGCCCACCTGCGGCTGTCTCATTGAGCCACCATTCCATCTTGGCTTGGTTCCCGGGATATTGACAGACAGCTGTGTAACGTTCGGGACATCTTGAGGTTTGGGTAGCTTAAGTGGCCGGTTCTCTTCAAGAACGGTTTGCGGAACTTATAGCCTTAAATTATAGTGTCTTACATTCTTTTGCACCGCCAAAACTTGAAGGTGAGATTTGACACTCACACCTACCACCAGGTTGAAGGAAATAAATTATTGTTCGTGATTCACTTGTTTATTTCCTTTACGGGTTGGAACCTCGGGTTGATAAGTCTACCTTTTTCGAATCACGTGGCGCCTACCTACCACCTTCCGGGACTGACCGAGGTGCCCTTCACCGCCTTCCAACCTGGCTTTGGTTTAGTATATATATTTTTTTTTCTTTTCTTCTTTATTAATTTTTCTCGGTTGTTAATGAGCTAGCCTAGGCATTGTCTTACCTCACTATTAAATTACGAATTTAATTAATTAATGCGTTTCTTTTTCACGACCCTGAGATGGAGAGGTAAGAAATGTTATATCATAGGAAACATTTAGATAAAGTGTTTTTTTTTGTCTTCTTACTAAGTTACCACAATTTATTATTATTTACAAATCTTCTGGATTCCTTCTGCCAGTAACCACAACCTTCCAAGAACACACACTTGCCGCTGTTGTCTTTCCTTACATTCAAACCATCACTGACCACACATCAAAAGTTCTTTAGTAATATGAGGCTAAAACCACATTTAACATTGGTCCAAAAATCTGTCAACATCTTCGATTTGTCAAAGACAAAATTCCTTTTTAGAAACCAGGAGTTTACAGCATTCCATGCAAGGAATACTTTGGAGACAGTTTCCGAACACAATCATCAACGCGGATATCAAATCGTATTTCATGAAAATAAAATTCTTGCATGTAATCAGTTCTTCTACCAAAAAAAATCCGAGTATTTCTAATAAATGCAAGTATTTACAATTTTTCATTATAAAAAAGGCATTTTATTACATTACAAGTACCATTAAAACAACCCAATGTGGGATGGGGACAAGTACATGTATATTGTTTGAAAGGGAAGCTGGCTCGGGATATTTTGGAATCAAATGTTCAGCTGACTTAACAGGGGGACGTCGGGCTTGCAGGAACTGCAGTCGTCGCGTGTGCAGTAAAAAAAAAAACGCAAGGGCAGACAAATCACATATGCACACCTATGGCACCTAACTCTCAAGTGATTATTTTTTTCTGAATTTTCTTTGCATCCAAGGTAGTTTACCTAAGAATCGGTCTATAATCTTATAAAGCTTTTGATCATTTAGTTCATACCACAGGTTCATTCGTACCGAGAAACGTTTCCTTTCAGCCGCAGGAAGGCAGTCCTCCAGGGCTTCGAATAGTCAATGGTACGAACGCGTCCGTCAATTCGCGACCCTACCATGCCCTGATAAGCGGCAAATCCGACCTTTACAACGGAGCGTGGGCATGTCAGGGTGTACTGATTTCCAACAACTATATTCTAACAAGTGCCATGTGCGCTTGGGAGTAGGTCATGTTAATTTCAAGTCCTCGGCATTCTGCAACGACCTCGTTTTCAGCGCGGATCGCATCAACATTACTCTAGGGCTTAACAGCGTCGCCAATCAAACCGGGGTCATATATTACCAAACCACCGGCGACAGCGTAACGTTTCATCCGAGGTACTCGAAGGGAGAAGTCTACGACAACCTAGCTTTAATTCAGCTACCGCAGCCGGTCACACCCAGCGACACCGTCCGAAGCGTTCAATTGCCTGACCGATCCCAAGCGAACAATTTGTTCGAAAACGTCACGGGGGTGGTCAGCGGGTGGGGAAATACGGATTCCGACCTCTACAATAGTACTCCTGCTGTATTGAAAGAGTCGCAGCAGAGAGTGATGAATTGGCTGGAGTGCGAGGACACGTTGTGGTATTTCATCGACGAGAATCTAATATGTACGATGGGGATCGACGGCGTTCCCTGCATCAGCGATCACGGGGCGCCCCTAATCATAAATAACCAACTGATCGGGGTATTGTCGGAAGCCAGCAACAATTGCACGATCCCAGTTCCTTCCGTGTTCACCAAGATCCCGATGTACTTAGACTGGTTGGCCCAAAATACCGACGTCAACGTTACAGCTTTGTGATAAATTTATTAAAGCAATCACCATTTGATGGGTATTATTTTTAGAAGACACTTGAAAAGTATCCTAGTTAACACTGATACAAGGCATTATTGCACCGAAACTTAACTGAGAAATGTAGATATGTACTGAAAACCCCTTGTTTTGGGACAAATAATTGGTTTTCGCGCCTGAATTACAGCAATTACAGTAGAAATCTACATTAAAATCGAATATGACTACTTAAAAGCCCACTTTCTTGGATTGATGGTAGGTTTTTCTTCCTCATTTCAAACAGATCGCAGTCAAAATCGGCTTTTTCGGATCTAATCGTACCGAGATCTAACTTTGAAAAGCAATTATTTACCTAAAACTTTCTTTTCTGGAACAAATAAGTGGTTTTCGCTGTTGATTTCGAGCAGATTATAGTCAAAACCTGCATGCTCATAACTTATCGGACTGAAATCCACTTTAAAACTGCGGATAACTACTTAAAAACCCAACTTCTTGGATTGATAGTAGGTTTTTCTTCCATTTTCAAACAGATTCCAGTCAAAATCGGCTCCTCCGACACATATCGAACTTAAAGCCGCATCAAAACTGCAGATATCACCTCAAACTATCATTTTTTTATCCAAACAGTTACCTTTGTTGTCAATATGGTTCAAATACTAGTCAAAATTGGAGTCTTCGAGCATTTTAGTAGCGAAAAACTTTAGATATCGATGTAAAACTCACTTTCTGAGTCAAATAGTTGCCGATTTCGATAAAATCCCTGTCAGAATCTGCTTTCTCGCCTCTTAACGCACCCAAATCTACCTTAGAAAAGCAAATATGTACTTACTTAAAACCCCTCTTTTTGAGACAAATAATTGGGTTTTATAGTCGAAACTTGCATTTTCATAACTTACCAGTTTTTGCTTTTTTTATGATTCTCCTAAAGTCTTACGGTCGCGTTTAAATTCAGTTGCTCAAAATTTTGCCTTTCAAAAACAACGACTGTCAGCTTAAAACTTTGGTAAATAACTATCTACTAGCGCCGCCATTTTCAGGGTGAGGTCGGAAAATTTTCGAGTGATCCTCGTAGACGAAAATGTCCTGTTTTGGTTAGTCAATTCGTTCCATTTTTTTTCTAGTCGGTTCATGTTTTAAGGGCTTGATACGACAAACAACAATTTTGATCGCATACATCGACAGAAAGGCAATCTAAGGAAATTGTTTTTATCTAATATTTTAATGGTTGTTTATTGTCGATCAGAACTTATCACTTACGTACGAACTACATCGATAACTGAGCTTGTGAATAAACAAATGAAAGTTTCATTTTCAAAAATACATTCCTGATAAGATATGGTTTTAAATTTTTTGATATTCTCAACATAATACATACAGGCGAAAATAAAATATGGCGAAAAGTGTTATTAACTTTGTGCTTCCTGGACACACTTTTTCAATTATTTTGCTTAGTTCTAAGTCGGTGAACATAACTGGATGGCAAAGGTCGAGTCTTTCAATTAATACCCTGATATGATAAAGGCAACTATTCGATTCCATTTACCTCCTAGTATATTTTTCCTTGATATGTAAAGGAACTAAAAGTTAAAAATATCCAAAACGAAGAAAACATTTCTTAACTTTAAAACTGAATAAACTTTTGGAACAAACAAAAAAAAAATGAACACTTAAATTAAACTTTTATAATTTCCGATCTGAGTTTCTGGGTTCTATCCTCATTGCAGTTACCGGGTCGTCATCTGAGTCTTCGCAAACTGGGCACATTTTGAATTTAAATCTTACTTCTTACCTCTGAAACCGCTTTCGTTATATTAATAGGAGGACGCATTCCAGGTTTCCTGGCTTTGCCTGTGACCTTTTTTGATAGTATGATGATGATGGCTGATGGCTCGCTGTCGGAGAAACAAAGCGATTAATTCTTCGTCGCTGTTTTCTTGGATTATCTGTGGTTGAGATTCCACTTCATTTTAGATTTGCTCACTTGTATTCAATAGTAATCTGTTTTCCAGCTTCAAACTTCCCCCCCCCCCTTTTCTTCTTCTCTGGTATTCTCTTTTTCCTCTCATTTCTTTTGAAAACTTTACCAATGATGAACGTTTTCAGGCAATACGAATCTTTCTTAAGACTTCATCAATATTCATTAGGTACAGCCCGGTGGTTCTAAATCCTGATATCCAATATATCCTTTCTCTTAAAGGGTGCAAATACAACCACATCAGTTGACTGCATCAAATGCGCGGCATTGGCTGGAAAAGGACACATATAAATGTTATTTTCTAGGAGTGCCTTTAGGTCCTGCTCGTGGTTCCTTGTTAGTTTTGGTTAGATTTCTCGAAAAAGTTCATGTCGAGCCATCTGGAAGGGCTGTTTCCATAAACAGTGCCAAGGGGTCCTCCATTACACCAATTCTTCTATACTCTTTCTACCCTATGGAAGTTTTTGAGAAAAATAATTTTGTCACTTATAATAAAGTGCTACTAATCACGTATGGGACTTAGTACGAAGTCTCATGAGTGGAATTTTAAAATCTATTGCCGTCCATTAGCTAGCTTCAAGTGCTTTTCTGAAGTAAATGAAAAGGAAAAAAATATTTAAGTATTTTCTACTGACTTATTCGAGTCAGTTAACAAGACCCCTTAGGAAACATTTACCTGGCCAATTAACCGGATGACCGTTGGACCTGACATTGTTAATGGCGGATAATTGTTTGCGTTACCTTTTAAACTTAAATATTTCCTTCCTCCGCATAGACCCGAAAGCCCAAAACTAATTGCTTAATTGTGGAGCGACAATTAGAACGCTGGGCAGACAGGCGAAGCATGTAATTGTGGCTAATAATAGTTAATAACAGTTTGGGGCTCACTGAGAACGGACAGTTTGTGTGCCCGTCGTGTCAGAACAATTTTAAGTATTTGACAATTTAAATTTCGAGGTATAGTTTGTCTCAATCTTCATCGCGTCGGCTTTCGAAGGACCCTCCCCAATAAAACTTTAACCATGTTGTTACCTATGCTATCGAGTGATAAGGCAGTGGTGGGCAAGGTATAGTTTGTTCACAGATATTAGAAAGTGGTCAATTGCTTTTGAATGGGATTATCCAAGGGTGATCATTAACGTACAATGCAACAAGATTATTACTTAAAGTTTTGGAATTTAAATTCAGGTAAAATTGTGGTCCGTAATAGAAAATATTTTATACTATAAATTTAAAAAAGTATAAAAACTAAAATAATATAGATCGAATAATAATTAATAATATTATGTGAATAGTTTTACGTAATTTAAGTAGGTGATAAAAATAATTTGTAATTTTACTTTAGATTTAAACATAAATACATGCATAAATAAATAAATATTGTTTAGTATATTTCCTAACAAATCGCCAAATAATTAAATTCTAAGCAAAGTACGGACCTGTTCGGCCATATTTCATTCTTACAGATTGCCCGGGTCTTTCCTTAATTCGTATCACTTACTTATATCTATGAACAGACTTTAACATTTCTCTCATTCTGATATATTTTTTGAGTGTTGACCATTTGTGGCGGTTTTGAATAACGATGATAGACAAATAGACAATAGACAAGTAGTAAAGGAATCACATTCATTAAGCAATATAGATTAGAAAACAAATCAACTAACCAAAACTAACCAAAACTAACCAAGTTAAATCAGAGGTCAGATGAGAAAATGTTACTCCAAGTTTAAGTTCCAGTGTTATGTCCAATTCCGTATCCACATTATAAAAATCGAGGACATTCATATGCGGCAAAGAATGGAGAAACCGGCGAAAAACATCAACCGGGCTCAAAGAACACGAAAGGACCTAACGCCTAAGTTTTCGTAAAAAGTTATACAGTGGCCTGTGGAAGTTTCTTTTTGTTTTCCTTATATTCCTTATAATATTATATTATACAAGCCTACGATATTTACGAGTGTTGGATTACGAAAAATAACGAGCAATCTCCGTCTAAAAGATGCGACCCCAATACAATGCCCATTGTCAGGCAATCGTTCAAGGCGACAAAAAAGCAATCTATTACGTCTCCTAAGCAGATATTCTCCGGAAGTCGTGGTGTTTTCAAATCAGCGTTCCCGGCCCAGGACCAATCTCCTTTAAATGCCCAAGGGTGCGTGGCTGAACGGGATTTGTTATCCTTTAGTCCATATATATATCCTTCCTCGAAAGGATCTGAATAAATAACTATTCTATTTTCCGTTTCCTATTTCTTACACTTCGGGGTGTATTATAGCGACGTCGGTGCAGAAATATTGCGGGCTCGGGAACGGCGCGGGAAATAAATGATGATTAGACAAAGTGGCGTTTTGCTGGTTTGAAAAATCTCCTAGAATGCTTTTTATGTGAACGGAACTCGCAACCACCAAGTGTAGGCACCTCTAGAATCTAAGTACAGCAAGAAGGGCAAGAGCATGCAATTAAAGTTGGCATCTTCAGGAGAAGATTAAAACTGTTCCAGTCAAGAGTTTGATAACGCTGGCTTCACGCTCAACGGAACTTAACTTATAGGTTAATAGGAGCAGATATTTGGTTTCTAAAATCCTGTAAAAATCATTCAGTTTTCCCAAATTTTGTCAACATTTCCGTAACAAATTCATCTCTTGTTGCTAAAAGAGTTGAAAAACTTGCAAAAGAAAACTGGTTGGATTTGGAAATCAAATACCTGTACAGTAAATGAAGTATGCTCGAGTTGGAAACATATGGACTCTACAAAAAAAAAACAGTTTTAATCTTCTCCTGAAGATGCCAACTTGGTTGGCGAAACGCTCGTCAAGTACGTAAAATTGAGTTTCGGTTTCTGGTAAAACACGTTATTGTGTGTTAGTGCAGTGCCAAAGGTTCCAGTCAAGAGTTTGATAATAATAACTGTAATTTGAAACTCTTCAGGTATTGCCAAATGTCGTGAAGAAACTGATTTTTCCCTTGCAATTTTCCGCTTACTTAGAATTTCCCAACAAATCCTCGATCCATATTAGGAACACCATCTGTAGTTACGTTACATAACTT